GTTGTAGTCCAGAGTCCTGGTCATTCATTCCATCATAACAAAACTCCTGTCCTCTCCATATAATTAGTGCTGTGAAATGGTGATATTCATTATTTTATATAGTGTATCCAACTAGTTTATAGCATCTTGAATAGATGGTTACTGTCCTTGGTAGCTGAGACAGCAAATCTAAATTGATCTTGAACTGTTCAATACTGTTCGGTATTATCCATGGTGTTTTGCTTAGGAAGTAAGCACTTGTCACAGTAGGGTTCGCTCTGCATTCCAGATACGATAGTGCAGTGTTTGACTCTACACATTGTGGGACTCATGATAAAACTCAGCTCCACAATATCCAGCGCAATTACCAACAGTGGGAAATTCATGACTGAACTGATCTTTTAAAGATTGGTCTATTGTTGGATGTAAGGCAAAACTTAAGTGACATGTGTTTGCCACTGGAGAGGGGCAGTGATGAGAATGACATTTCTTAATTAATGACAACTTCCAAATGTGGCTAAAAACGCGTAAAAACTCCCCACACTCTGCTCCATAACAATCATACTTTCCTTCCTGCATTGCAAAATTTTGTTGAGACCTGACAAAATTCGAAATAACAATTTTTCCTCGTTCTAAGATTCCTTGAAGCATTAATTGTATTCCTGCTTGTAATGAAAGCACGGATGGACCGGTACGTATTGCTGACATGAAATTTTTATTCTGACAAGTGAAAAGAAGTAGTATAGACAAATTGTTGTCAGACGTACTGGTAGTTCTGTATAATTCATTACACCATGGTATTGTTGTTGGTAGATTGCATTCTGAACAAATGATGTTGTAGACCTCTTTGGAACTTTTATGCCTCCACTTGATAGGCAATAGTAGTGAATCCATTTGTGGCAAATGCTGCAAGCATGCATGTTAAATTCCTCTTGCTTTTCTCGATAAATTGCCTGTGCGGTGCTGCCTTCCATCCAGGGTGTACGACAAAGGCAATGCATCTCCACAACTTCTTTTGTCTTGAAATAAGGTGATTTTTCTGTGTAAATTGACTCTTTGGGATAAAAACGGTTAAAGAGAACCTTAATAACCTGCTCTTCATTGCACCGAATATCTTGTACATGAGGAAAAAGGTAAAGATGGCTAAGAATTGCAGCAAGCAAAACATCCTCATAGTCATTTGAGAATTGCACAACACTGTGCATAGCTATAAAGCTATTTACAGACAATCCATGTCTGAGCAAAACAGCAGCATGGTAATTTAACTCAGATCTGTCTCCGACAGCTAAAAGTAGAAATGATGTATAAATTAGTGTGGGTTTAAAAGCAGCAAAAGTGATACAGCACATACACTTTCACAATTGGATGTCCGTTATTGTCATCTTTCAGACACTTAAGCAATGCTACTTGTTCAGACCTTGAAGTCTCGCTAAGTACTAAATCACCCTCATTTGGGAATGACACTTCCTGGAAGTCAATACATGAATTAAATAGTAATGCATTAATCAATCTTACTGAGTCGAATGAACCACATCAAATGAGAGCTCCTGCTAACTGTAGAAATATTCCAGCCAGAATCCTTAGAAATTCATTCCAATAAACAAAATGTTTGAGTAAAGTTTTTCTGCTAGTTCTCGCTCGCATCTAACATAATACTTGGTTTAATGCCATTATCATATCCTGAAATGAACTAGTTAATATATTCTTTGGTCACTATCACTTGCAGCACTGTTACCTATATAATAAATATTAGCCATAGGACATGGATCTCAAACATACATGTACCTTTTAAAGTACAATTTTCATAGCTTGCATTTGTATCACCTCAATTATGAACATGAACATCACCTGTTACATCTGTTGACGAATACAGTGTCAAATGTAATTTAATTTTTTTGCCATTTATTTTCAATAATTTTTGCAATTTTTGAGACATGATATTCTTTTAAAAGTAGTTTTTTGCACTCATTGATGAATAAATTAATTCACTAAACTGGAGTTTGCTGTTTACTCACAAAATATTTTGGGCTTCCAAGTCAAAATTTAAATTTGGAAAATATAAGCACATATCGTTATGTATATTGTATGTACCTTCTTGGTGTGCTATCAACTGAGACAGGCCTTGAAAATCACTGTTTGAATTCACTTCATCGAAGTAAATGGACTTATAAATGCATTACTTTATTGTATCACCCCTTACCATTATGTGCATCTTCATATCATCCATTTTCATAGACTTACTTGTAGTTGTGAAGTTGTCATTTTCAGTATCATCTATAAGGCAAATTTTTGAAATATATAATGCAACTAAAGAACATACTTGTATCTCTTGGTCTCTTCTTTGGTTCTGTATCATTCTTTCTTTGTTGTTTCCTTCCGGAAGGTCTCTCTTTCTTTCTTCTTTCTTTTTGTTGCATTTCAGCAAGATTACCTTTCCCAGTTAGAGTAATCCAATCATCAAACGGCAAGCAGTTATGTGATAATAGATTGTGGTGGAAGGGCACAAACAACTTCCCTTAGGAAATAGCGTTACTGCACAATGAGTTATATGATCAGTTTCCATTACAACCCATGCTCCATCCTCTGGCAGTTTAACTCTATTATTCGCAATAGCACAGTGGGCCATGGAAATGTGACTATCATTCGGGAATTGATTGGCTTCTTCAATTTACTATCACTTTTTAAACATCTATCACTCTGGCCCCCATTGCAAATAACATCAACTATGTCCTTCAGATCTAGTACAGCGTCCATATGTGGTAAGAATGAAGGTTATCTTTCAAAATGTTGGTATTCATTTCCCACCATCTACGGACCACACTGATGAATTGACCTTTGTATCTCTCGATGATAGTATGCACAGAGTTGATAAAAAGAATTGGTGATAACATCAACTGGAACCAAATTCCATCTTTGTAGCCCGTGTATGATGGCATTCATTGAATCCAAAGTATTATTTGTAACTCCTTTGTGACTATTACAAAGACCAACAGACTTATGAGTCTAGATTGCAGCATTTGACTTAAAGGAAGGCAATAAATTGGTGTCAAAGTATTGCAAAATTTATTAGTGGCAAAAATTCAATTCTGCTTCATATTATCCTGTCTATCATTAAATTGTGTCTTACTTTCCATATTCATAAGACTCATGAATTCTGACATGACACAAGCAATGTCACTTAGTGAACAATTTGAACATTGAAGGTACCACTGCAAATCCCGATCAAGATGGTTCCAGCAGTACAGTTGTTTTCCAACAGAAAAGACTCCATCAAATGTAAATTCTCTATTAGTGACAATATTAACAAAGGATTAGCCTGTGCAATGCGGTAGCGTTACTAAGTAGGATTCGTCCTGAAACAAAATGGCTGGCACAACTTTTGCAACCTTGCTATACCAGGAAAACAAGCTCCTATGCTTACCAGACTTCTTAGAGGACCGTATCTTGACCAGAGGACTCCATTGGTACCACTAGTGTGGCTCTAGACCTTGTCTAAGAGGAAAATCAAAAATCTGTGAACCAGCCGTTTTGTTCAGCCACCTTTTTTCATCATCATCACCATCAAGAATGTCCTTGCAATTCAGTTGGCGACCTGTATCTCAATAATGACTGGTACTACAAGAATAAGTCTTGCACTATTCTACTCCAAACAGTAATGCGTGGATCCATGTCCTATCAGGTCATTCTTCAAGAAAGGAAGAAATCATCCAATGGCTTGTGGATTTGATGAAAGTACTTGCATACTGCAAGTTTGTTAATATTAATAACATGTGCTTAAAATGGGTGTCGATGGCATGCTCAGAACATTCTCTAATTTCTCTTACGTAAAAAATTGAAATGATTGCAGTGAAGCACGTAAACTTTACATTGCATGAGTTATCATTGTATGTTGTCTTATTCTGTACAGTCAATACTTAGGGAATATCAAGAGTGGATCATCGAGTCTATTCTTGGTAATATACAGGCGCACTTCCTATTTGTTCAAGTCCTATTGTTGTAGTCATTATTTTTGTAGTTTGAGTTTCATTACTGATGAATGGTTTGTTTCATTATGATAATCAACTTTCAGTTTCATTGATAATGTAATTCCTGTCTTATCTATGTTACAGTACAGTTTTATTGAAACAGGCGTGGCTATAATGGGTGCGGTTTGTGCATGCTCAGTTGTGGTACTCCTCATGAACTGAAGTGTCAGTACGGAAGAGTCCTGCTCTGTTATCTGCTTATCTATTTTTGCTAAAAGTGCTGGTTCACTAAGACTCGAAGATAAGCTTTGATACTACTTATAATATTAAGCACGATAGTAATTATTATTACTGAAACTGATTAGCCTTTAAAACCTGGTTAATTTTCTTGTACTATTTGCGACCCAATATGAGAAAACCAGGCTATCTGCTGGAATTATCAATTAGAGATATGGCTTCTTAAAGTTGTGACAGCGGTACCTTATCAAAACTGAGATTATACCAAAAATATATTGTATAAAGAATTTCCATTCATTTGATACCAAGTTTGCCCTAAAATAACTTGAAAGAGGTCATTTACAGACCTTACATTTTGTTGTGTACCATGTAAATAATGCAAGATATAATGATAAAAATGGCTGCAACTCAATTTCATTCGTTTTGACTTCTTGTTGCATAAATAAGCAAAACTCAGCACTAGATGTGTCAAATGACATCGAACGAAGAAGGACCAAAAGATAGGAAAAACTTTGCTTAATTAAGAAAACCATAAATCTCAATTTTCAATTTTGGAGCATATAGCCTGGTTTTCTCATATCGGGTCACATATATATATTGTTACAGCTATTATATAACGAATGCCTAACATACAAGGCAAAGTGTCTGCGAAGAAGCGCAGGCAACTAATACTACGTTGACACCTGTTGCCGGTTGGCCTACTTGCCCTTGAAATCCGGGACAAAGCAGGTCAGAGCTCTTGTTTACACTACTCCTGATTCTGACTTTGTGGGACTGTGGGTGGAGTAAGACAGCCTAGACAGGCGGAGCTAGTTTAAAATGGCAGCAGATGGTATGTCTCTTCTTCTGCCCTACTTCTTGACTACTAGATCGACTCCCACCATTCTAAAAGTGCCAGATAGCAAGGAAAAAAAGAAAAAGATACTGGCAATGAGAATGCACCGTGTTTTAAAGAGGCACCGTCTCTCTAGGAAGAGGAACTATATTGTATTGTTCTCTCTCTGGTGTAGCATTTTGGCTACTGTGCCACGTCCCAGAAGTATATGGTGTGTTGAAAGGTATAATGCATTATTATATAATTTTGTGAATTTAAATTTTTATAGATCACAACATTGGTGGGATTATGTTGTAATGTCTACTTTCAAAAACAAAGATTGGTTGGAGAACTTTCGGTTATCCAAATCAACTTTCATGCACTTGTGTGATCAATTACGTCCCTACATTCAGCACCAAGATACTCGATTTAGAAAATGCATATCTGTAGAAAGACGTGTTGGTATAACTCTTTGGTGTCCAGCAACATGTGGGGAGTATAGAAGTATTGGACATTTGTTTGGTGTGGCAAGAGGTACAGTGTGTAAAATAGTTCATGAGACTTGTAGGGCAATTGTTGATACACTCTTAAGTCACTACATTCATTTTCCTTAATCAGTGGATGAAGTAAAAGCAGTTGTAAATGGATTCAAGATAAAGTTTGGAATGATTCAATGTCTTGGCTCCATTGATGGCTCTCATATCCCTGTCATGCCTCCTGCTCTCAATCACACTGATTATTACAACAGAAAGGGATATTACTCCATGATATTACAAGCAGTTGTTGATCACAACTATGTATTTCGGGATATTAACATTCGATGGCCTGGGAGTGTGCATGATGCACGTGTGTTTGTCAATTCATCGCTCTACCACAAAGCTATTAATAGAGAGATACTTACTGGTAATGAGCTCAAGATTGATGATAAAGTAGTTCCACTGTTCTTGATAGGGGATTCTGCATATCCATTAAGCTCATGGCTAATGAAGCCATTTGCTCACAATACAGAATTGAATGACAGTGAACGGAAGTACAATTACTATCTATCAAAGTCTAGAATTGTAGTAGAAAATGCTTTTGGCAGATTAAAGGCACGATGGAGGAGATTGCTTAAGCGTAATGATATGATGATTGACAATGTTCCGTATGTAGTAAGTGCATGTTGTATTTTACACAATGTTTGTGAGGTTCATGGTGAAGCCTTTATTGAATCATGGATGCAAGGTGTGGATACTTCTAATCAACCAACAACCTCCCAATCACGTACTGTACTCAATAATAATGCAAAAGAAATCAGAAACACACTAGTAGATTATTTTAAGAATATGCCATAACAAACTATGTTTGATGCATTATTGTTCATTATTAATGTATGATTATTGTACATGTATGTACATTATTGTTCAAGTCAGTAATGCATGATTAATAATAATAATAATTGACAAACTTAGTTAACGATTGTTGTCTTTGAATGGCGCATTGAAGTGATTATAGAGAGGCATATGACGACTACACAAAGCAAATAAATTCTGTTGAAACTCTCTTTCCTCTCTTCTCCTTTGAGCCTCTCTTTCTTGTTCCTCTCTTAGACGACGATCTTCAAATTCCAATTGGCGCTCCTCCAATTTTAGTCTCTTTTCCTCAAGTTCAAAGAAACGTCCATCAGCATCTTTGCTTTGAGCTAGCACCTTTTCAAAAACAGAGATAGCTCTTTCATATTTGTCTTCCTTTCCGCGCTTCCTTTTTGGCTTCGTTTCCACTTTCCCTTCATTTATTTTCCCCTCAGTTGCACTATCAATAGTCGTTCCTGATTCTGTTTCAACAAAAGACCAGTCATCTCCATCATATTCCGTCTCCAAAGCTCCAGAGCTAGATGAATTATCAAAGTCCTCACTTCTGTTCATTATGTGTGTTACTTGACTTCGAACTGATTCCACTGACGTATCAATCACTACAGGTGGGTGTGTCGCTGGTTTGTTCCCTAGTATGTCATTGACAGCATCATAAAATTTCCAAACAGTTGTACCAGTACCAGTTGGTATGTTCTTGTCTTTAACTTTCTTGTAATCTTTTTTTAATTTTTTTATCTTCTCCCTACATTGTATTGCTGTCTTACTATAGCCAGATTCTTCCATAGACTTTGATACTTTCTCATAGATGTGCTTATTCCTGGTACATCCTTCCAGTTGTGCTTGTATGCCTTCCTCACCCCACAGTTCCAGTAACTTATGAGACTCCTCATCACACCATATCGTCGCCATCTTAAGCATGTGCTTATGCTCCTCCTTTCCCCACCCCATAGTCTTTTTACCCCGCCTATATTCTAGGCCACCTTGCCTGCTATCGTTTACACTGCAATGAGAGCCCGTGGCCAGCCGTGTCAGCTCACATACTGATTGAGGGCTATTCTAGCTCAGATCGGCATACTTTCGTTTCTGTTTACATTGGTTTTACAAGTGGGGCTGACCCGGTCTAGCCAGCATCAAAGGTCTAGTGTAAACGTAGTATAAGAAAAGAGAAACGAGATAGGGTAAAAGCAGAGCGTAATGATAATCTAAACCATGACGTCACAGAGCCTGAATTTGTTCTGAATACTGGTGGTGGCATCCTTAATGAATGGTTGTGTGATGATGTTACAGAGAAGGAAGTTGCTTCCAGTTCTGTAGATGATCATAACCCAGAGTTATGTAATGTCACTGAGAATGTAGTAGCTACTGATGCAGACCTTTTCGTTCTTTCTGATCCCACAGAATGTAATGATTGGTCTGTGTGGATCATTACCCGCTAGAGTTTTGTGACAACACACAGTTTGAAGTAGCTACTACTCTTGAAGGTAAAACTGTCAGACACAGACAGTTAAACAAAAAGGATTGGTTGAGACAAAACTATTAAAAGAATCATCAAAACACCTTGTGAAGTCAAAAAAATATTGAGCCAAAAATAAACAAAAAGTAACAGATTATTCTAAAAGATATATGAAAACATATTGTGCCACAAATAGACAAAAAGTGGCAGATTATTCTAAAAAATATCATGCTTCTCATTGTGAAGAGAGAATGAAAGGATTTAAAGATAATTATAATGCTAATCATGAAGAGAGATTGCAGGCATTTAAAGATAATTATATTGCTAATCGTAAAGAGACATTAGAGGCATTTAAAAATAATTATATTGCTAATCATGAAGACAGATTAGAGGCATTTAAAGATAATTATATTGCTAATCATGAAGAGAGATTAGAGGCATTTAAAGATAATTATGTTGCTAATTGTGAAGAGAGATTAGAGGCATTTAATCATCAAAAGAGATTACAAGGTTTTAAGGACAATTATGCTTTTAATTTAGAACAAAGAAAACAAGCGTAACAGTGCAAAAATTATTCCTATAATTATTTTCACTTCCTTGCATGCATAGCTAGGCACTTATTAACACTTATGAAGGTTGTCTCTACCTTCTAATGCATCTAGAGAAGTTTTTCAACAGTATCTCTATGTTCTATTGCCGTTAGAAGTTGTTAACTTCGTCCCATGTGTAAGCCGTCATTTTGTTTGTCGTGACCACGCCCACTCACGTAAAGGAGCATAAGCAGTGGTTGATAAGGCTTGTTATTTCTCCAATACAACATGTATAGAAGAAATGTAAGTGTGGACATACAAATATATATACAACCATCGCACGTGGGTGAAATCAATTAAAGGAACTACTTGGGGCTATGCTCTGTGGTCGTTAAAACATTATGCATGAGTATTAGGCCTCTCACAGTCAGCAAATAAAAGATAATGCTACAGAGCATTATGCTGCTGTGGCTAACACAAAAAATGCCAAGCTAAGACGAAACTATAGAATAAAGCGTAACTTAAATCCACCAACAAGAAGTGTACCAGCTAAGAAGAGATCTAAAATCATAGCACAAATATTGCAAAAGAGACAGAAGGACTTGGCATATTATAAAAAATTTTCTTAAATTAAGACAAAACAGAAGGGATAGATGCCAAACCAAAAATTATTTTAAAAAACTGATACATAGCAATACTTTGACAAAAACTTGTTAAGAATAATGAGTCATAAAGCAATTGAAAGTTGCTTTTGATATTGACAAGTCATTGCCGATTGCTGTCATGCAGTAGGGTATTAATTTTTTTTGCAGCTAGGAGACATGTTACTGTAGTGTTAAATATATGTCGACATTTTGCCGGAATGTTTCTTGTGCTGATTAAAAAGGTTAATAATAATACATACATTGGCAATGGGGAATTTGATGTTTCATATCACGTGGCCAGTTGTGAGCCACACTTTTGCCAAGCATGCTATAAAAATGCCCCAACAACTGTCAATAATGATATTTAATTTTAGACGATGATGATTCAGCAAAACTTATCAACAGTTGTTTCGATGACAATGGTGAAGCAATTTTAAGCACATAATGCAGAAAAAATGTACAAAATGATAATATTGTTACTAGTGACACAAAAAATAAAAACGATGTAGACAGTGGTAAAAGGGTTAAAAAAGAACTGTAAAAATAGCTTGTACTGACAATTGTAAACCACTGACAGATTTTCAAATCGAAAACATCAAAAAATTAAAAGAAGCAAACCTGCTAAGGAGTTTTGAAAAATTTTGAGAGACATAAATACAGGTTGGCCAAATGAGCATGGTTCACAAAAAATGGTGATCCATTACATGTAAAAGCAAGCTAAGAATACTGAGCTCCTTTTCTCATTCTGCAATACTACGCACTTCTCTGCGTAATGTTTATCAAGCCAGATAGTACGATGAATTTTTCAACCTAATAGGTCAAGCATTGAGTGAAGGAGATGTGGATGCTCTGTTTAAAATTGCAACTGACTCTGATCCAAAGAACGAAAAGAGTGATGTCGCCCTAATTTTCTCATCTAGATATGACGAGAGTGATAGCAACATATATTTATGAGATGCAGACTTAGAAGTGAAGCCACTTAATGAAAATGTTTACGTGATAGCTGAGTTCCAAAAGGAAATTAGTAATCAAAACGAGCATGCTTGTTGCAGCTGCATGAGATTAATGAGACATAGTAATCTCAACAAAGTTTTTGATGAGGACAAAGAGAGTAAGGTTTGGAGACAATTTGAAGCCTTCCTCACCAATTACGATCCAAGTTTTTGCAGCAAGCAACTTTTAATGTGTAAAACTTGTAAGCCTACAATATGTAGCAATAAAATTCTTAACAGATGTGTATTAAATGGTGTGCAAAATGAGTCTTTGCCAGACGAGCTTAAAGGCCTAGACACATTTAGTACACAGTTGATTCAATTAGCAAAATGCTTTCAAACAGTTGTTAGATTGTGAACTTACACTGCTAAAGTCCCAATGTACAACTCTTTAAGTGCCAGTTGAAGAAACAATGAAAACTAAGTAAAGCTGAAGACTTTAGACCAAAAAAATGCAAAATCCCAAATTGCTTGTCATTTTAAACAGTGAAGGTACAAAAAATAATAAAATCTGGCGCACTTTAGTTGATGTCAACAAGCTGCTTATGAGAAAATTAAAGATTTCAACTGGCTCTACGGAAATTTTGACGACAAATCTTTAGACGATGTAGCAAAAAAAGTCATCGAAACAGCCAACAGTTGTACCACTACTGTGGTGGAGGAAACAACCAATGTCGACAATTTAGGCTTCCAGTCTTACACGGTTCAGAACATGAGTTCAAAATTAAACAAGGGGAGCGACATCCAGCAATACAAGATGACGCTTTTCAGGAAAGAGCCACTCTGAAACAGACAGATGTACTTAAATGTCATGTGCTTTCGTACTCTTTTTCAAACTGGGAGGTTTGGACAGTGTCATCCAGGCCAGTGAATCTAAATTTAGCCAAATACATTGAGCGAAGACTCTTGATATTGATTGTGCCACTCATACCTCTTATAGTGTCTCAAAATCAAACAAATCAAGGAGTTGAAGGGATGCATATTAAAACTGCTCAATACAGCGAAAGGTCCCTCTCTGACTACTGCACAGTTCATAGACCAAGTCAAAACAAATGGAGAGCTACTGGAACAGAGGCTCTGTACCATGACGAACACTGGTCGTGGCTCAAATCAATACTTGTACCAGAGAAGAATTGAAGTATAACGCATAATAGCAGAGTTGGGTTTCCCACTTTCTTTCTCACTTTTAGGTGTGCAGAATACACCTCCGAAGACTTTAGAGAGTACGTGCATAAGGTAAACACTGTCCCACCATCACATAACACTGGCAAACTCTGCACAGAAGATCCCGTGTCTGTATCGAGACAGTTTTCTCTAAAGTTTAATGAGAAGTATTAATCAAGGGACAGGTTTTTGGCCCAGTTAGCGAGTTTTATTACAAAAAAGAGTACCAGGCCAGAGGAGCTCCTCACTATCACTGTTTAATCTGGATAGCCAATGCTCCAGTTGTCGGTGAGCGTAGAGCCGAAGATGTCGTCAGATTCATAGATGAATGAGTAACTTGTAACATACCAAATAAAGACACCTGTCCACAATTACACGAAACTGTTACAAGGTACTATTCAGCAATTACTGTAAGAAAGAAGAAAGTTTAGCAAAGATATTTTCGTTACAAAGTGCAAATTTGGATTTTCTTGCTCAGTTTCAGAAGAAATGGTACTGAAAAATGTTCAACAAAGCATAAAAGCAGACAAAAAGATATATCACCTTAAATGGAGCGAGGAAGAAGTGCGAGTCAACGATTACAAAACTCTGCTTCTATTGTTATGGAAAGCTAATATTGATGTATCCTTTAAAAGTGAGTGCTCTCTAGCTCTGGCTGATTATGTGAGTGGCTAGGTGACAAAGGCAGAAAGGGGTCACATGCAGGATCTTAGGCAAGACATCATAAATGATAGAGGCATCTACAGTAAATTGTTCAGAATCGGCATAAGATGTCTCGACAGCCAACTTATTGGATTATATGAAATGTGTGATATATTACTGGGCGAGCCAGTTTGTGAAAAATCGAGGGGGTATCATGGATTGACGTAAATATGCCACATTAAAGAAAATGAAATTTAACAAAGAAACTCAGTGAAGTTGAAGAAATAACTGCAAACGATCCATTCACAGAAGACTTTTATGGGGAGGGTGTTGTCACTCACTTTTATCCAAACAGAGCCCAAAAATATGAAGAACATTTCTTTTATGACTTCTTAGCCAAACTCACTTACAAGGGCAAGGATGAAAATGGCGAATGAATCTATAGACTACTGCAGAAAGAGCACCTTCCTAATTTTATTGATGT